AAAAAAAGGAGATTTCATTAACCACTGTGCATTTAATAGGCCTGTCCGTTCCACCTATGGTATTCCTTATAGGGAAATTCGCTAAAAGAAACGTTGAACTATCTTTTTGATGTTGGAATATTTTTGTCTGAAGTTATTTATTTCCATAGTGACATAGACATTGAAGCTGGACGATTCTGCCACTAAATTTGGGTTGGGACGTTCTGGGTATGTAAATTGAGCCATAATGGGATTTTGGACAGCTGTCAGTTCTGCTTACTCGTTTATTCGTCACCACATAACAATGTTGTCTCGTTGTTGTATTTTTAGTTTTACTTCGTATTGGTCACTGCTACCTAGTAGTATGGATAAATAAATAGATCGTGGGATTATTAAATAAAAAGTGCACGTGTTTTGTATTGTATTGTTTAATTCATGCTTTTTGAAAATTAGGTCCATCACTTTGTGATTGTTAATTTTTCTACAAAGTAACCTTACATAATTTTTAGTAGCACACCTTCATGGTTGTTATTAAAATTTCCTAAGGGTAACCTTGTTTTTTGTTATAAAGGAACCTTTTAGTTTCATGACATACTTTATATGCTAGAGTAAACCTAAAAGAAGTTACACAGCTCTAAACTTGTTAAAACGCCACGCTTTCATAGTTGTCAGTTTCGGTTTTTTGAAAGACTTTATGGGCTCATTTCCAAATAAATACCTTGAAGATAAACCTTTAATTTTAAGGATAGCTTGGAAAAAATATTGTTGGGATTATTAGTTATTACAATACTGTATATAAAATGTGTGGTTTACTTAATATTACCAGATAGAAGCGAGCCTAAATCAATTAAAAACAAATGAACTACTTCTTACGAAATAAATATACAAGAGACTCGTTCTGATAAACAATTTATAATATTAATATAAACACAAAATATTAATATGTGATAGTGTAAATCTAAGAAATAGCTTATACAAAGATAATGTTTTATTATATGATATTGCACATATAGGCGATGAAATATTTAAATGTCAGTTAGATGTCCTGCCATTTCAATACAATGTTCATTGTCAATTGTTGGTACTGTGTATCTTTTTTAGTTAAAACCTACGGTTGTCAAGCTGTTGTGCATAATGAATAGATAGGTATCTTAGTGTGCCAATATATGTCCAGGAGTCTCCTTATCCAGGTCGATATGCTTATCTATATCCCAGCAAGGGAGGGTATATGTGGGCGTATGTAGTGTCCAGTCCCTGGAGTGGTTTTACATGCAATCTAATCCAACTTAAATGGGTATTAGGCCCCTAAGTGTACAACTTAGTATTTGTGTAGATAATATAATAAACATTAAACAAAAGTTAATATTAGGAACATAAGTACTTTTTGAGTCAAACCGAGTGAAACTTTTTGAAGACAATCTGCGTTTAAAATGATAATCTTTTATTTATAATTATTCATAACTAGACTCATGGATATTTGATAGATGATTTTTCTAACTTTGAGGGTTCAGTGAGCTGGATTAAAATAAAACTAGCAAGCAAAATAACAAATTTGTTTATGTAAAATCTAAGATAGTGTTTTTCTGTTTATTTTAACGTAGAGGCATTTTTTTACTGTTGTTATAAACTTGTTTTTATATCACGACAAACCCTTGTCTTACGAAACCTTATTATAAGTTAATAATAATACTAGAGAGAAAAAATACTGATTTAAAACTGCACAAATGATTTAAACATGAGTACTGTAACATTTTAGTCATCAAATAATTACGATCCACTATCTTGGAAGATTATTTATTCCATCTTTATATGATATATTTATTAATGCAATAAAATAAACGATAACTTATAAATGTACCCTCTGGCTCATAATCACTCAATCATGTGAGCATGACCGCTTAAGAGAAGATTTATTCGGTAACATTTACATATAAATTGGGAAACTTTACGAGCAATTGTAGATTGGAAAGTTCTGAACAACAGTATCCAGAGGTAGACAAAGTTAAATTTACTTCAACAATTATCATTATACGTGCGTACTGCTAACAATTTAAAATAATTATGATTACAGAATATATTGACGGAAAATAATAAATTTCTAGAATATAAGTTTTATACTGGAGTTAAGTACCTTGATTTTATAATCAAAATATATTCATAAAAAGGGTTTGCTTAAAGTTTTGTTTTATCTAACCAAAAGAATTTAAAAAATGGGAGACGAGAACTTTTGTAAGTAAGGTTAGAAACTGTAAGGGGTGAGGAAGTATCTCATGTGCAATTTTCCACCGATGTTTGCTGTAACTGTTGATAAATCATATGCTTCAATTAATCTAAATAACTGAGATAAAACATAAATAGAAGTTGCAACGTTTTTGGGTTAAGAACCTACTAGTTTACCTGCAGTTTCTTAAACACTTTTCAAATAACAATGAACATTTTTCCATCCAGAATTTGAATTTCGAGTTTGACCACTCCTGCAAGTGTTTAAAATTTGAAAATTATCATTTTATTTTTATGCAATAAAAAATTAACATGCGTGTTCATAAAATAGTTATATATTAGGCTAATAATATAGACAGTAATAACTTTGTATAGCTGGTTCATTAGCATTATAATAACTTCTTTGAATAACATTGCATATTGTTTAGGTTGAGACACAAATAATGATTAATAAAGATCAACAAAGATAACTATGTAATGAGTGTTTTGTTAAAACCAGATTTTTTTTATATAGCGCGGATGGATTTTATCGTATCCACCGAGGTGGAAAAAGGTAAATTACTTGATAAAGTTATAAATATCTTTCATACTTGTTGAATTTTTGTTGTTTTTTTGTTTGTTTTTTTTTTGTTGAGTCGTGATGAATCAAGTAGCCTACAAATAGTTAACCTCCAATAATTATTTCTCAAATAGTTTTAGTTAACAGCTTTACAATTTATAGTTAACGTCTGTTTTACGAAATGTTTACAAATAAAAATAAAATAGACTCCTTTAAGGTGAATATTTTTTTCTAAAAGAAATGTATACATAAATTATAGAAAAGAGTTAAATTAAGATTGTTTTGAATTAGAAACAATTTGTATTCTATAAGCAAACCCTCACGTTCTACCCTTCCCTTCTGTATAAATAAGCGAAGATTTGACCAACTAAAATGTTCAACAACACATTAAGGTTGCAAAGACTGTTGAAAAATGGCATAATTCCGCGAACAGTATTTGCTAAACTTACAAACTTTACGAAGTTTACGTCTTAGATTAAATATGCAAAGTTAGCTGAAAGTCCTCTTTGACTAGTTTAACAAACTCGCCCATTGAATTTCATCGTGTTTGCCCGTGATTTGGCAAAGATGGATGTTGAAAATTTTAAATTTATTTTAATAACACATAGTTGATGATAAACACCGGCAACTAAGCAAAGTGTTCCATAGAATACATACACAAGTTCAAACAGTTATAAACTAATCCAATTAAAACTGTTGGTTGTAATTAATTATTGCATAATTTAATCATAGACGAGTGTTTTAAATATGTTGCTTTAATGTCCTGAACATTTCTATTCTGTTAAATATCTAAATGTGCAATGTATATGCAATGTTTTGAATTTTTTTTATAACCTGCACAATAAACCAGTTTTGAACACACACAAAAATCAAACGAAACTTCTCGTTGATTTGATTTAACTCGAAATTCATTTGTAATTCAAACCACGAATTTGTAAAATACTCATCCTTTTACTTTTTTTTATCAACCAGTAAAAGTTTATGTTTACGTAAAGTTTGTGTTTGATCTATTCTTGTATAATTTATTATTCATTAATATTTCTAGACTACCCCGTAAAGAGTTAAACTTTTAATTAATGTTTCATTAATTAAATGAATAACGCCTACCGTAACTTTAAATCTACATCTTTTCCCTAAAAGGTTTTTTATTAGCTATTTCAGAAAATCTTGAGAGTATCAATTATTTTATTTTAAAGTAGCCTATTTGTATTGACCAAACACATAGTTAGCTTTAAACATATTTTAGACAACCAATAAAACCATTATAATTTGTATCGTTTATATTTAATTAATTATATTATTATATCCCAGTACAACTTAGTAAGTCAGTAGCTCAGTTAATAAGTGATTTAATAGAAGTAATGTCGTTGATACGTGTCCTGTTGATAAGTACCTATTATACTCACTGTTTAATATGTTACAGTAATATAATACCCATTGTTGGTCCATTAATAAGTATAACGCGCATGTGGACAGAAAAGTTCTATTTGGAAAAATTGCCAAAAACCTCCTAACAATTTGTTATGAAAATAAAAGGCAAAATAATGTGGTCGGCAAACATTGGAATACAAAAAAAAAAAAATATTAACCTGAAGAGAATGTAGCGGTGTACAAAGGCTTCATCTCCAATCATAACAAACGACAGGCTACAATCAATCCTTTGACATTCCAGATTTTAACGTAACGTTGACTGAGGGATTGTGTTAGTGCTATCAAAATACCTTTGTCACAATCAATTTTTCAATACTTTGCAATCACTTTTCATTACATATCCCCACTGTTTATAAATATTTAATAATGTTGGTAAACGATAGATGTGCATTTTCAGGATAATGATAGTGTATACAAATTTTAATCATTTTGTAGCTACCCTGTGTTATCATAGAAAACTTGTACAGACCTTTTATCTCTTTAATGCTTCCTGTAAATGGACAGTCTTGGAACGAAATCCACTTCTAAGAACACACACACACTACATTACTTATCCGGTACAAAGGGGAGTATTGCGTCTTTCTCTTTACTCTGGTTCGATAATAAACCATAAACACATAAGGTTCCAAGTCTTCGACCACTAAAGCATAGCTCCCGATTGAATAACAAATCTTGAGGTTCCCAAACACCCTGGTAAAAAAAAAAAAAAAAAACATAAAATTAACTTACTCATTTCATAAGCAATAAACCTATGAGTTTCTGTTTTCTTTGGACTGGAATAAATTAATTTTGTTACTTAATTTTGTTGTAGGACAGTGAGATTCTGTGGCACCAGCCAGCCCTGACGTCACTGTCATTCATGACCAATGAGAGGTCACCCTCGGACCCCAATCTTACGACTGACCTTGAAAATCTCACCCTCATCAAGAAGGACCTTCCTCCAGAGTTGAAGTTCAACTCAGATTCTCTTGTAGTCGTCGCTATTTACAGCATAATATTTGTGGTATGTATAAAAAGATACAATTCATCACAAAACTACATACTCAGTTTCTAACTAGAGCTCGCCCCCGTGGTCGAAAACTCGACCGAAAGTATGTTTTGTACAAACTTCTCTATTTTCACCCCCCGCTGTAAATAAAACATGTGATTGGAATTTCTTCTATTTGTTTTTATTTTCTGTTTATATTTTGTTGTTATTTCGTCACCAACATGGCAACCTTTAATGCCCATGTTAATATAAAAATAAATTAATTCATTTTTTGTGTTTTTCTTTAATCTATATTAATTTATAAAGGGATTCCGCACATCTACAGGCAAATATCTTTCCTGCGTAGATTTCTCAGTATAGATCTCATATTCAGTATAGATTTCTCAGGTAGATCTCGTATACGTATATTTCCCCTGCGATGCACAGGAGCTGATAAAAAAGGTTTTCTATAAACATAATTATTTGTCTATTAATATATAGAATTTGCACCATGTTAAATATCCATAAAAATGTTGAATGTTCATTTTTGACCCAATTAACATCAATATTCTCAAAATACAAATAAAACCTGCACTTATAGGACCAAACAGCTTTGTTTTAGTATAATTCGCGTGTAATTCGGTCCATTAGTATGGTCAGGCTAGCTGTCATAAGTTTTGTAAAATTGTTTAAATATATAATATGATGGTTTTACAATTTTACTGATACTAAGTAACACTCAACAGATGATTGATTAACTTGATGCGATTGATTGAGCCACTATAACTTGAATTTCTCAAGAAAACTTCATTGTCTTTCTGTAAACTGCTACAGAACACTTTTAACCCCAAGTTTACAGTCACAACCTACTCATGTTGCAGGTTGCTTCAGTAGGCAACGTGACAGTGTTTGTGTCTCTGGTCCGCAGTCGTCGTCGCAAGTCACGAGTAACACTGATGATGACTCATCTATCCATCGCCGATATGATCGTCACCTTCTTCATGATCCCGTTGGAGATCTGTTGGAGGATATCGACACAATGGTTCGCTGGCAACGCCGCCTGCAAGTTCTTATTGTTCTTCCGAGCCTTCGGTCTGTACCTGTCCTCCAACGTGCTGGTCTGCATCAGCCTGGACAGATACTTCGCCGTGTTACATCCGCTCAAGGTCACCGTAGCACGACGTAGAGGCAAACTAATGCTGGTCGGGGCCTGGACTGCCTCCGTAGTCTGCTCTCTTCCCCAGGTATTTAGTTTCGAAGTAGTATGTAATTTAAATTTGGAATATGTATGGGTTGCATGTTTTTGTGAAAAACTTTTGTTGTTACTCATTGAATTAAAGATGTTATCAACTACCAGATCTTCTGACCTCATGATGGAGCCCTCCTTTGGTTGGTTGATATTTTAATCGGGGATTTCATCCTGGCAGTGAATCAGTCCCTTCTTAAAAAGCTGTGAATACTAGTATTGATTAAGCAGTAAGATTGGATGTGTTGCAGAAAGTCAACAGTGCCGGAATGTCAAATAATTTATTCTCGTACCATTAGATAAAATTCATGTATTTTGCTGTATCGTTTGGTCAACAGTCCCACTTGGTCAACAAGTAAAGTCAGTGCTGAGAACGTAAGCTGTGTATACGAGTTTGACCTAATGGGACTTTGACCTAGTGAACAGTTCCTACGACGAACGAATATTTTATCAAACGATCTATTTATGTAAGGAGATGATCGATCACGTTTCACGTTTTTAAAATGAAGATAGAAATTTGTGTAACGTCCATAGATATCACAAAACTATTTAATTAACTAAAATTATGATTTTGTTGAGGATGACAAGACTACTTGAACTGTTTAAAGCCAATGCCAAAACCGTTTGTCCCTAATAACCAATTTAGTTTGACATTGATTTGACAATATGCTAATTAGTTGAAACAGCTAATTTAAATTGATTGTTTTTTGCAGGTATTTGCACCGATTTCTATAATATGATATTGCTTTGTGTATTTTTAGGATAGGTTAGTTTAGTATATAATAAGCTAGGATGGTCTACTGTATAGACAAAGTATATCATGGGGTTTACTTCATACTTTGCCTTGCTTATTTTAGACCATCTATAGATTAACAATGCATTTTATAGAACACATACTATAAAAAGTAACACATACCGACAAGTAACATATTCTTAGCCTTACTAACAATTTAGCATGGCAATTCATTTAGTTTATAATTGACATTAATTCATGTAAAATAGTTGTAATTAAAAGCAAAAGTATTGATACAACCTAGCATTTGTATAATGAGCAATTACTTTTTCCCACAAATAATATACAAACTAAGTACAGAAGAAAATTAACTTATATAGAAATTAATGAACACTATCTATTCAGTTAAAAATCAGTCTTTACATGTGCAATATGTTCTGTGGGTTTAGTTGCCATATGAATATAATAGGAACACTATGAACAGGAATCATCTCTTTTACTTTCAATACTTAACGATTCATAAGTATTTTCAAATTACATTTGTATTATTTTACCTGACATTAGTTTTAAATTACTACCCAGTAAGGATAAACATATATTAAGGTTTCCTAGTTTCTTAGTAGTTTTCTTATACCAAATTGATTAAACCATCACTAGGACTTTAGTGGGTATTTTCCTTATTTTAAACAATATGTTAAGTTTAAAATTCTGATTAAATTTGAGAAAGGCCATCAAATGAAGTCTAATCACTTTGTTGATGGACACTTTTAATAATGAGGAAAGATTAAATTGAGCTCGTAGAATTCTGTTTTAAATCAATAATGACCAACTAAACGTTTTTCTGTGACAAAATCTTTACGTGTTCTGACAATAAAACTGTGCTGTGCAATGCACTTTATTTGTTGTGTGTATGTGAAATTAAACGTTCTGTAGGATTAGCAAAAAATATAATTCTCAAGTACGAGTGCAAAGAGCAAAAGAAACGAACATAAAATATTGTTATAACGTTTCTTAATTTTGATTGCTTGTTGTTTTGTAAATTTTGAGTTTACATGTCTTAAACATAATTTATCACGGGTAGTAAGTGTTTTGAGATTGTAAAAAATAAACATAAAGTTTCATATTTGCTAGTGGAAAACATTATTCAGCACGTTGAGAAATACAGTAGTGAAAATGGTCATTCATAGCTATCTTTAGAAGTCAATATTTAAAGAAAATGACTCTTTGGTATTAAATAAACCCATTAGTATGGCCGACTCTGTATCCACCATATTAATATCAATAAGTTTTTGGTGTCTTTATAATAATATATTATTAATTGTTGAGAATGAAAATGTATATAATAAGCGGATTTAAGTTGAACTTTCATTAAATAATGTTTCTGAAAGCACCAATTGATATAAATGACTAACACAGAATTTGTCAACTTCAGTCACAGCAATATTCTAAAATTAATTTAAAAACTCCATTGACGTTTTGAAGTTATCGATCAAATTAACGAGTAACGTCAAAACATTATTGACATGGCATGACAAAAATAATGAAGAAACAGACACATACGTTGAACCTTGTTGCCTACTTATGTAAAAAATAATTTATAATACGTATATGACGAAAGATAATTATACTTTTTGGTTTTGCTCAAATTCCTATATTTAATTACGTAATGCATTCTATAAATAAAAATTGTGGGAGTCTGTTTAGAAAAGACGGGAGAGGGCTTAAATTAGAAGTCTCTGTCTCGTGACGGCAGGAAAAATAGTGAGATTCTCAAAATGTTAACACAAAATTAGATATAACGTACATATGATTTCCACAAGAATAGCATTGGAAGCCAGTTATAGCAGATTTTTTTTACTTCAATACAGCTGACCGTGATATATAATTAAGCCAGTACGCAATATTAACATTTGGATTTATTTGGTTGCCAGTCAGCTCTGCAATGTACTGTATACTATATAAAACCAGTGATAATGTAAATTACAATTTAGAGTTTTTCGTTAAGTCTTAGAATGTTGAAATAGGTTTTGCTGTACAATTTGTAAATTTTTATTTTTACTAAGCATATAATATGATAGGTAGTATAATCCTGAGTCTCAAATCAAAATGAATTGAACCTAGAGTGGCTGAAAAAATAATGAAACGTTTTATAGAAAATTTGATTAAAAGTAAGATAATTTGTATAATGGATCAATAACACGTCTCCATTGTTTGTATTTGAAAACTTATGTTCGGGAGGTTTACCAAATTATTATACTGTTTCTACATTCTTCACATTTGAAGGTTATTGTTGGGTTGACAGAATGTTTTAAATGGAATAATCACACTGACTGGACCATGGAATAGTAAAAAAATTCAAGATTAAATGGAAAACTTTTGCTTTGGTTTTATTTTAAAACATATATTGACAATTTATCTTAACATTTTTTGTAAACTCAACATTTTATTTGGGGCTAAAAGTTTATAATTTCTAACGTTTACGTGTCTTACTTTCCTCACAGAAAAGTATATAACCTAACATGATTTTGGATTTTTTACTGTGCATACTTAAAATAAAAATTTACAAATTACACGCTGGGAACTAAACGACGTAAACTAAAAGTTTGATTTAAATAATTTAACTTAACGTTTTTACCATTGTGTTATCTGAAAGAGTGATTCTTTTTCAAGGTTCACAACGTATAATGCTTCAAAAGCAAATCTAAATAGCTTAGCAGGCAAAAAATAATTGCCTCAGTGAAACCTGTGAAACTAATTGGAATTGTGTAGCAATTTCTGAAACTGAGACTTCATTTATTGTCGCTCCCGGGATAGACAGATTCTCATCAAGAGCTCTCCATAACTGGCTTTAGCAATTTATTGTCTAATAGATTCCACGTGTCTTTTTAATGGAGAAAATAAATGGCTTTTCCAGTTAATACGATTACAGTTTTGTTTCACGAATTGGGTCAAGAAAACATCTTTAATGCAATGTTTTGGACTAAATAAGAGCTAGGTACCCTTGCGACAGCAAACCTGTCGACTAAGTGAATTTCCGTTTGCCTGGTTACATTTTTACCTAAATATTTTTTTCTTAAGCTTGTCAGATGATTTTCTTTGTGAATTATATTATATTTAATGAGTAATTAGCTTTTCTGCAACGGGGAAGGTGAAATGTGTTTTTTTTTTATTAACAGTATATATTGTAAGAATGAATTTTCCAAATTTGATCAAAATACAGTTTACTTAATCTCCGTAAGAATAACATTAGAGTTTAAAATGTTCAGTTTATTTTAAGATTACCTCCTAAGACCCAATTTCACCAAACACTTAAACTGCCGTTAAGCCTTGCTCTAACTGCAGTTAGGTCGTAGCTGTCAAAATCGGATTTCACCACTCGCTGTTAGAGCTCGTTAATAACTCGTCGTTAGATGACTGTCGTTACGTTATCGTTAGATGTAGATGTCGTTAACTGTTCAATTTTGACCCGTTAGCTTCTATAATCTTTTGTTAAATATCAGCTGGCAATATTAAGGTTTAATTATTAAAAAGGCTTAAATACCTGCTATCAAGCAATCTATTTAATTGCAGGTGCAACTAGTTTCGACTCCTATGTGGAGTCATCATCAGGCGGTACAAGGACTTCTTCTTTCTTCACATGAAGAGCGTCATATTTAACAAACATTTACTCACGACACAAAACACGTTATGGACACGAAACATTTACTGATCAGTTACGACAACAGACTACGCTAACCCGGCGGAGTTTAAGTCCAGACTCCGCCGGGAATAAATCGTCTGTTAAATATGACGATTTTAAGGGTAAACAACAAAATATTTGTGAAAAGTTTCAAAACCTTAGCCTATAATAACCTGTTACAATGACCCGATCTCGATAGTTGGTGAACGCATTCGAATTGGATTCAGCCCTACAAGTGCATACAAAATATCATCAAATAGAGAAAAAGAAATACTCAAATCATCGTGTTCAGGGACACACATACATTTACACAAGAAGAAATATGTTCAATTATCACTAGTTTACTTGAATTTTGTGTTTTTGGTACTTATTTTGGATTCACTTTTGAAACGGATTGAATAACTAATCAAAAATTATACTTATCTTGCTGTAACATTTAATTAACTCCACTCAATGCTAATAGTCAATTTGTTAATGTAGTTTTTAAACTAATGACCAAGTCAGAGAAGTAGTAATTAATTGTTTGATTATAGGGGAAATCTGCATAGTGATTACTTTTATCTTTTATTATACACCTTTACAAACC